CTTCATTTTTAAATCTCTGATTTTCAAATGCTTGAGTTTAATCTACTCCTACAATTTAAATAATTCAAATGATTATTTCACCATGAGTTACATAACTTCCCATACATTCCACATTTTTTTTCAAAGAATATATATCTTTAATAAATTGTTTTCTATCTTTATATTCAGAAATAAGTGTAATGCTAATGAAAGTGCCTTAACATGCAGGGTTTCACATTTCTTATATATTTCTATCTTTTAGCAATGGGGATTTTACCTGAGTAACTCCCAGTTTGGTTATGTCCATGATAACATCCTTCAGCCCTTCACACTCCCCTCATATTCCCAGTCTTTCATTAAGTGCAGATTGTCAAGGCCGCACCTTCCATATCTTACCAGGAGCATTTTGTGGAATGAATGTTCTATTCCTGGGTTTGGCAACAAATCCAAGGTGTCCTCAGAAGTCATAGCTGAAAGACACGAAATAAATTATCACTCTTACTATACGCAAGTGAATATGCTTTCAATTCAAACGTACAAATTTAATACCGATTACAGGACTAAACAAGACGACATAAGAGGAAACACCAAAATTGCCATCCTCCATGGAGACATGAACTTAGCAACAATTACTGACCCAATTAGCTTGCTGAGTACTGAGAAACCATTTTCAGGAAAGCAAAGCACATGAAAGAGTCACATCAAAGAGGAAAGAAAAGTTGCTTACATTTGCCAACATTACTGTGCACCCTCCCTGGCACACATGGAAATGTTGTGAGAAAACCCCAAATGCAAGTTTCTTCTCCGGTTGGAAAAAGATGAGTGAACTTCGTGTTCAATGGACTTGCTTTTTGCAGATGCCTGAAGGTCTCGTTTATTTTCTGCATGACACCAAGTGCTAAGGAAATGGCAGTGCAATGTGAATGCATTGTGGTGACCACTAAGAAAAATCGTAAGTAATTGTTCAAATGCCACAAAGAGCGCAGTACTGAAGACAATCATCATGGATAGCAATATAACACTGCCCCTAAAGAGGAAACTAGTAACATTTCAAACCGGAAAATTACGTGCAAAAAAAACAGAGAATACACATTCATAGAACCAGTTTGATAGGCATAAGGACTTCAAGCTCAGATGCCTGCTATGTGTGTTCTCTAGAACAAAGCAGGTCCACACATCCTGGGATGGTGGCTGTTTTGTCTCCAAATCCTCAAAAAAACATCACAAGGCATACAAAAGAACAGAAAAACATGGTCCAATCAGAGGAAAAACTAAATCTTGAGAAATACGCCCAAAACTACTAGAGCTAGTAATTACCTAACCAAGAACTCAAAGTGCACTGTCATATCTTTAACAATCTTTTGGGATGACCAAGTACCTCAGTCAGTTAGAAGCCTGCTCAAGAGTGCAAGCTCTGAGCAACAGGGTTGCTGGTTCGATTTCCATATGGGACAGAGACGATGAGCTGACACTGAGGTCCAAACAGGTGGCAGGATGGTTCAGCTGGTGAGAACATGTGCTCCTAACAAGAAGACTGCCTGTTTGATGGTGGGCTACATCGCCTGCAACTATGATTGAACTCGGAACCTTGAGCTGAGCTGCTACCCGGATGGCTCAGTGGATAGAGCGTGCGCTCTTAACAACAAGGTTGCTGGTTCCACTCCCTCATGGGACAGTGGTTACGCCCACCCACAACTAAGACTGAACTCAACACCTTGAGTTTACAGGCCACGAGCTGCCGACAGCCAGCCAGATGGCGAC